AATTAATCATGGTGTCCTCTCTACTTCTAAGGGTCAATGAGTATGGTTCTCCCTTGTTCTTTTCTTGCTACCTGTATCAATTTTTCTAATTCAAGCTTCTGTTCTCTAATACATTTTCTAATCTAATCAAGCCTCTCACTCAGTTTACTTTAAATTTTATCCATCAGAATTTTTGCCAACATCTCCTCAGGTCTAATTATATATCAACTATCAGAGTATTGTATTGAATTGAAAAAGGACCCCTTGGTTGAGGTTAAATATGTACAGTCTGTAAGTGTAAGGAAAATGACTTGAATAAATTTATGTTTTTATTATATATGAGAATTAAAATTATGACAGTGTTTAATTACTTCAAAATCACATATAAATGCATTGTTTCATTTTGTTTAATAATTTGATTATAGTGTTTATGTAATTTTTGACAGTTTCTCCTTGTTTTTTTTAAACATGGTTATCTAAAAGTTTTTTGTTTTGTTTTTCTGTAGGAGCAGTTTGGCATCATTTGCCATAAGCATGGATTCTACCTTAGGTTTCCTTGCCAAGTTTACATCACAAAATAGTGAACATCTTCAAGAAAATATTCGAAGCCTCACTGGATCAGAAAATCCTGAAACCTCACTATGCTCTGCTATGAGTAATCAGCAATCTAAAGCCCTGCCATGTAATTTACAGAGGAAATCAAGTAATGTATCCACTTCAGTTAAATCTTCAAGCAGAGAACATACAGCGAATGATAATATACAAGCTGAGATGGAGCGGGATTCCACGAAAATGTATTACTGCAATTTTTGTGGGAAATCCTATTCAGAAAAGGATAATGGAATTCATAGATCTTGTCATTCATTGACTATATATAGTTGCAACATGTGTGGAGAGAAATTCAGTCAGAAAAATACGTTGCTGGATCATTGTTATGCTCTCCACGGCATCATGCAATCATTCATCTGTGATTTTTGTGGAAAATGTTTTTCTTCGAAAGAAAGTCTTCAAAACCACCAAACTATTCATACAGGTGATAAACCATATCCATGTGAAATTTGCTTTCAGTCTTTTTCGGAAAAGAGTTTTTTAATTTATCACCTGCGCTCCCATTACAGTGAGAAACCATATCGTTGCCAGTATTGTGGGAAAAGTTATACCTTAAAAGGCAATCTTCAAATACATTTACAAGATCATGAAGGAGTTAAACCATTTTCATGTAAGGTGTGTGATAAGAGTTTTACTCAGAAGCCTGTACTTGACCTTCACATGAGTATGCATACTGGCAAGCGTCCCTACCCATGCCAGATCTGTGATAAAACCTTCAGTCAGAAGGGCAATCTAAAAACCCACATGCTTATCCACACCGGCGAGAGGCGATTTGCCTGCCCTCATTGCGGTCGACTTTTTACCCAAAAAGGCAACATGAAAACTCACCTCAAGCTGCACTTGAGACATCCATCAATTCAGAAACCCTACCAATGTGTTATTTGCAGGAAGTCCTATGTTTCAGAAGCTAGCCTGCAGTGTCACATGGTTTGTCACCAGAAGTTAATTCCATTTGTTCCTCAAAACATAGCTTTGGCAAGTACATCTCAACACAGTTAATTAGCTATTGTGACAGTATAGAAAAATGAGACTTCTAAGTGTCTGAGTTCTATGGCATGGTTTTTGATATTAATATAAACTATGACAAATGGCATTTTTTTGAATATATATGGAACTTAATAACTTTGAAAAACATATTCGGTAAGTGGAAATCAGCTGTTTATTTGGCTTTTATGGATACAGCTCTCTCTGAAACAGCATTGAAATGAAATATCACCATGGCCCATCTGTAATCAAGATTCTGAATACTAAATTATCTCCAAAGGTTCCAGCATTCTAAACATATTATCTGTAAAATTGTTGTTGAACAGTTAAGTTTGTAAGCTTTGCAGACGTTTTCAAAACAAAAATTTCTGCCAAAAGAAATTTCCTTGAGAGAAGTACCAGAAAAGAGTAGATTTTGAAAGACGGTGTCAATGGACTGCACCTGTCTCGGAAGTCCTGGATGCCATTTTGAGCTGCTAGTGCAGATCTTCGTTCATCAGATGAAGACCTATATTAGCAGCTTGAAATGTCGTCCAAAACTTCTTATATACAGTCCGTTAACAAAGCCTTTCAAGTACTTAAAAAAAAGAATTAAAACATGGAATACTTGAATTTTTTTTGTCAATTTTACAAGTATTTCAAGAAACATAATTTAAACTGTAAAGAATTATAACATAAGTTTATGTGTTATGCTTGTAATATTGTTACAAGTCTTTCGACTGTTGTCTGGATTTAGACATTTTCCTAAATTTTGTACATTAGAATTACCATTTTGAAATGTCAGTAACTCGGTGATATCAGGGCACAACTAAGAGGTACTTTTTTAATATGTTACAGTTTGAATTACGGTTCACAAGGATATTGGCTTTCAAAACATTGTAACCCCCTAGTGTAAATATTTATTTTATGTGCAATTCACAAATTTAAAGTAGATATTTTTTATTGACGTAAGTTATTATTTTGTTTTCTCTTGTCAGCCTGAATACGGTAACTAAACCAAGAACAAAGGATTCACAGCCGAAAAACTTTTTTTAGAGAGGAAGGAAATAAAATGATTGTGTGTGTGTGTGTGTAGACTGAAGGGAAGAATGAGTAGAAATGAAGTCAGAGTAGATTTGTATCAAATTTATGTCTTTTTCCGAACAAATTAACACTACACATACTATACCTGTCATAAGTTAAAACTATTCACGTATAAAGAACCTACATTTATGGAATTTAACGAGAAAAAGAATTGAAAGTTAAAAGATAGAATATTATGAAGAAAAAAACTAGATACAGAACTAAATTCAGTCTAATCTTATTGTTCAGAAAATACAAGGGACATTTATTTCCAACCTAATTATTCAAAATATCTGAAGATTCTGTTGTAAAATCAACAGTTAATTGAAAATCTCAGAAATAACCTCCTTGCAACATCTTCTGCCAAAATACAACTGACATTACATTCACCTGTAGAGATAAGTACCCTGAATCTGACTTATAGAGAAAAGAATTTTGCTTTGTGTATGTAAATTAATTGTGTGAAGTACGTAAGAGACTATAAGTCTTCTTTCTTATGTATTAAGATTTATTATTTAATTTCAATGTCAATCAAAAGGTGTAGCAGAAATACAAACTTGCAACATACAGTATGTTACAAATATTTCAGAATCTGTAAAATGGTTACAACATAACAGTGAAACATACACCACAGAAAATAGCTATCAAAATTAAATTAAAAGCTGCGTAAATATTTACTTAATTGAGAGCATTTTTATGCTCGTGTTTATATACATATATATATATCTGTACATGTGCATTTTTGAGTGTGTGTGATCATTTTAACTTGTCTTTTAAAGATCATATGAAAATAATTGTGTACAAATTTATATTTGGTGAAAGGCTTAACATGAGGTGACTTTTGTTGTTTTCCTTCCTTTTTTTTGTTGTATATTTTGACAAACAAATGATCTGGAATAAGGATTATTTTTTTGTGTGAGACTCTGTGGTAATAGTTTTAGAAAAAAAAAGTGATAAATTTTATTTTTACATAGAAGTTTCTTAACACATTACGACCACAATTATTTAAGTTTTTAAGCATAACCAAAACAATTTTGATGTATTTTTTTTAATTTGGCTGAATGAGAGATTATTTTTTACTTAATGAAGAAATATCATGTCCTTTATTATTATACAGTTTTGTACTGAAACATTTAAGCGTTGTAAGTTTCTCGGACATGTAGAATAGTTAATAACTTGTAAGTTTTATTGATATTTTAGTGGAAATGATTAACTTTCATTATATAAAATAATGTTCTTCTTCACCTTGTGGTGTTTTCAATTTTAAAGGATAAATTCTCCGAATATATGATGTAGTAAACATTATTCTAAACTTGATAATAGATTTTTATTTCCATTGATTCATCAGGCAAGAATATTTATATAATCAGATTTTTTTTTTAAGCCATACAACTGCATAGAAGCACAAAATATTTTATTGGTTATCTTTGAGTTTTTAAATGTTTGTTGTTGTTTTTTTTCTAGTAGTGATAGTTCATTGTTTAATGTTAGATATACAGTGCTGTGAAAAGAAAAATTAGACCAAGTTTCTCTTACTACTACTTTTTCTCTAAGAAAAAAAAAAAGTTGGATGACGGAAGTTTAATTGACCCGCTAACTACTACAGAAAGATACTTCCATTTTAATTCGTCTCTGTCCGACCTTTGTAAATCTTGGTTGTACAATATCTGCTCTTACATTTAGTGCAGTTTCACTTGGTCATCTAACAGAGGGAGGCACACAACACACACATTTGTCTAGTTGACTAGATGCTGTAGGTAGTATGGTGAGGTACATTTTAGGTGAGTGATATGTAAATTAACTAATCTGATATTTATGCATGCTATGTAGTGATGACTTTTTTTTAAAGTATTTTTAGCTATATTCCTGTATGTATAAACATATTTTTAGAAGAATATTGTAATTAGGCTGTATTAAGTGTGTGTGTAAATATATCATTCCTCGTCAGTGCATTGTTAGCTATTGTATATGATTTTGATGTTTAAACACACTATTATGCCATCACCATTGCATTAAATGTTGAAAATGTTTAGTTTATTAGCAAACCCTTTCATATCTGCTTTTAAGGAATGTTATTTTGTTACTTTCGAGTTCTATGTATATACAAATAGAATAGCTTATAAAGATGGAGTTAATTAATTTTTTACTTTTACTAGGTTCTGTTACTGTTGGCAATGAGCTGCTTGTATAAATGTTGTTGAAGTGAAGCCAGTATTACTGTATGCTGAAGATAATCTGTAAAGGATATGCACGTTTTTTAGTGCATGGCTTGTATCTGTGACTGTTGAGGTTTTAAAGATGTTATGGTTCCTACCTACTAGGAAAGTGTGAAACAGTGGATGGAAAGTTATGTTACGAAGAGCAGTTGGTAATTTTTATTTCTACATTATATGAGTAATGGGTTAAAGAAAAAATATGTACACTTACAAAGAGTGATTTTTTTTTGTAAGGATCAAATGGACTTTTGTTTCTAAGTATAGTGCTAAACCATGTTGTGAACAAGACACTATATAACATTGAGTTGTCTAGCATTCAGTTTGCATACTTTTAACCTTTCCAGTCTCTCACTATTTTAATTATAATATTCCTTATTTCAAGTAGACATGTTACTTTAACGTATTATTAGATATTAAAATCAAGTAACTGTGTAATATATAGCTTGAAATTGATAAGAGTTTAGAGTAATTTACTAGGAAATGTAAAATATGCAAGCAAGAGATTAGGAACATTAAAACAAGTAGGTCACTAAGATCACGTAGCCTGTGGATGTTTTCACTAAATCTAGTAATTATAACGTCTCAAAATGGAACCTCCTTTAAAAAAATATTTTCTCTTTAGTGTGTTAGAAAGAAAAGTTTAGCCAAGCACAAGTGGGAAGCACAACTGTTTTGTACGGCATTTGCTGATTAAGGTCTGTATTTGGCTTGTGTGCTAGAGGAATGTACAGTGCGTGGTCACAAGTAAATAGACGCCACCTTTTCAGAAAAAATGAAATTTTTCAGTCATATTCACATGAATTG